TGGAGTCTCGGGACTTACAATATTTTTTCCCAAAATTTTATCATTTTAAAAATATTTTTAAAATTGAAATCGGTACGAAAAACGGCTTTCGGAACTCAAAATAGGCCAAAATGTCAAACTGGACCGAGCTGCCAAATACAAGTTAAAACTGCCCCCACAGAATTGGGCCTTGTGCGCGCTTGGCCCACTAAAAATGGCCGCTAGAAGCCTGTTATTAGGCTGTGGAAATTGCGGGCTTGCGGGCTTAGAGCGGGTCTCTCGCGGGCTGAGAGGGCCACAGCTGTGAGGGAATCGAGCCGAATGGAGGCTGAGACGGGCAGACGGCCTGCGCCCTCTGTTGCCCTACTGTATTTAAAAAAAAAAAAAAAAAGAACTGCGGATTTTGGGGTTCGAACTCCCGACCTTACTCACACAACTGACCGCAGAAACCGCTGCAGTACATGACGGTTTGCTTTTTAAATCCCCCGTATATATTAATTCAGAACGTGCTGAGCCTAAGTGGCAGGCTCGCATGCTTAGGAATCTTATGTGTCAAAATTATATGCTTTGTTATTAGGCTTTGATAAATTTTAATTTACTTTTAATCCAAAAATAATTAGGTTCGGATTACCCTAAATATGTTGATTTATTTATGATCATTATAGATGTATTAATTATATTTTAATATCATTTCTTATTATAACTATATTGAATTCTATATTTATTTTAAAATTTGATAACTTTTGTATTTCTTATCGGTTTTACATATATAATATATCAAATTAATCATTTTTTGATAAGCTTCGACTTGACATCCATATTGTATATATAAAAAACATATATATAATATTTATCTTTATAATAATAATAATAAAAATATTCATTAAAACTAAATAGAAAAATAAAATTATTTCTCAATTAGTATATTTATGTTTACTGTAGTTATATGCTATAGTTAGAAAAATTATTATAATATAACACATGTATGTCGCACAAGTAACAAGTGTCATACTAAAATATATAATAATATATATTTCTTTATAAAAAAGAATTTAATTTTCAACAATTCTCATTAATTTTAATTGTAAGAAAAAAATTTAACAAACACTCGTGTAATACACGGGCGTTGTACTAGTTGAACTCATAAATTACTGAACTAAAACAAAGACCTGCGAGCAGAAGGGACCTAAATGTAGAGCAGTGACTTCACTAGCAGATTGGCTAATTTCAACCGTATATGACGACGATATAACCAACGACAACTGGGTTTCGACTAATAAGTAAACCTACGAACATAACAATTTACAGCGTTTCGAAATACTTTTTTTTTTTTAAAAAAAAAAAAGGGGTTTTGACTCGAAAACGAAACGACTAGAATAACGGTTCGAACGAAACGAAAATACGAATAACAAAACGACAAGGCTTGAAACATTAAACCGAGAATCTGAAATATCCAGACCAATGAAATCACAACAGCTAATGATCGATACACGATAAAAGAGAGTTCCACGACTATCCCCGATAAACACGGAAAATCAACAAACAATAACGAACGATGATCGATAGACGACCATGGTATATATATCCAGCGAATAACATGAATACGCAAGAATAAACTGAAAAGGTTCGAAAGAATTTACCCGTCTTCGGGAATTTCGATAACGGGGAAAAACGGGTCGGACGACGTAATGAATGGACCGAGACCTCGAAACTCCTTGGAAGCTCGAACTGAACGTAGATGAGTGGCTCACGAACTAACTACTAAGGGATTCTCGCCTCGATGGTCGACGGCGGCCCAAGCTCTCGGCTATGGCGGACACGGGGAGGACGCCGGTGAACAGGGGCTGCTGGAGGGTCACCTGCGAACAAGGGGTCGTGCGATGAAGATGATGGTCGCCGGGAGAAGGTGCTTGTCGGAGGTTGCCGCTGCTGGAGGGCCTCGCCGGGAGAAGGTGCTGCTCAAAATAATTTTTTTTTAATTTTTTTTTAATTTTTTTTTTCCTACGCGAACGAACAGAGAAGATAAAGAAAAATTTTGAACTGTGCTTGTGCGGGCTGGTGAACCGAAAAGAAGGAACCTTGCCGTGTCTTATGCAGGTGAGGGAAGGAGAACGTGCGCTTAAGAATCGTAACAAGATTTTGAACGGGTTGAAGAAGGAGACTCGGTCGCAAAATGTAGAGAAGGTAAAATATCTATTCTTGGGCAACATTTTTAAGTCATCAAATTGGCTAAAACAATGAAACTCAATTGGGCCTGAAATTGATAAATAAAAGGGCTAGAAGATTTATATAGGCGATAATTTAATTCCAACAAGGGTCGAATATCCCATTCGGAGCTTGGTTCGATCGCAATAAAATAATTTAAACCGGATAATATTTATATTTATAATACACACAATATATATATATATATTTAATAATAATCATTTGAAAAAAATTAGACAATTAGACATTTAATTTAATATAAATATAAATAATAATAATAATAATAATAATA